ACAGATATGTTCCAATTGTCGTAACTACAATCCCGTCCACTTTTCCCCAAATGTGACCTTCCGAAATACTTATTAATGAAATTGAGAATGGAAATGGGGAATGTGTCAAAGAGACAACAACCCGACCAAAGATCAGAAAATAGCCCAAGGCCACCAATGGGTCTTCAACACAGCGAGAAAATCCGGCACCCGGAGGCGGGCTGCAGCTGGCCCCTAAACAAAAATGTGTACTAGTTCAGTGAAAATGGACGTCCCACTAAACATCGAAACATATAATAGAACTAAAATTAAAAAAAATATATAAGACTTACAAAGGCCAGAGAGGCTCAATCCTTCCCCTATACCTCTAGCCAATGTAGAATAAACAAACACACAGCAATACGCGCAGTAAAACTCGGTTTAAAGAAGTCTGAGTTCGATGTCAGGATAGGTAACAGAAGAAACGAAAAATGACAATGATACATTAATTAACAAAGGACTACTAGCAGTTACTGACATGCCAGCTCCAGACCTCAATTAAAGTGATTGGAAGATTATGTCTTCATCATATGAAAATCAAGCACAATCCCTCCCGTTAGGGGTTTAGTATCATACCATCATAAAATATATGAGAAGAACATGACCCGTATCATGCCAACAACTGGTTTTAGAATAAATGTGTTTATTTCCGATGCAAAGACCTTATGAGTGAATCAATATTAATTCCAAAATATGCCATCTTTAGTGACCTGACAACAGTATCATAACTATATCCCTTCTGAATAAGTCTGTTTAAAGGTTTGGTTAGCTTTTGAAGTGAATGACGACATTTGTGTGCTTTGTAAAGAATATTACGACAAAAGATTGGTTGTGAAATACCTGAACATATAAGATGTCTGCATGTTGATTTATATTTACGAATGATGTCCTCGTACCGATAATAGAATTTAGTAAATTTTTTGACTAGTGTGTGATATCGAAAACCTTGGTGTAATAGTTTTTCAGTAATGTAGAGATTTCTTTTGCTAAAATCAAATATATTGTTACATACACGAGCGAATCGAACAAGTTGAGATATATAAACACCATATGATGGTGACAATGGAACGTCGCCATCTTAAATTGAAATAATTAACAATAGGAAATAAATAAATATCATCTCTTTTATCGTAAATTTTGGTATTAAGCTTCCCGTTAAAGATATAGATATCAAGATCCAGGAAAGGGCAGTGTTCATTGTCAGTATTAGCTTTATTTAAAGTCAGTTCAGCAGGATAAATCTCTTTAGTGTACATACTGCAGTCGTCATTATCGAGAGCCAATATATCATCCAAATATCTAAAAGTGTTATTAAATTTTAGTATCAGAAGTTGTTTCGATGAGTCTTTGCTGATTTTAGTCATAAATTGTAACTCATAACAATACAGAAACAGGTCCGCAATAAGTGGTGCACAGTTAGTCCCCGAAAATTAAGAGATTTTGTAATAAAGTTTTCAGTAAGCCAATAAAGATTGTTAAGTAAAATGTCTCTACATGTAGTGTATTTTGGGCAAAAGAAAATTAAATGATGAACATCCTCAATATCAGACCCAAAGGATCCAGTATAATGTTAGCTTTGAAAAGGTCAGAGTTCAAGATTATATTAAAAGGTCTAACAGATTTCTAGTACCTTCATAAAGTGTTATTGCTACCGGCACGGATGATCATCACCATCAAACCTAAGTCATCATCACAGAAAAGATGTTTTGCTTCTTTTTCTTTTCCTCCTTTTCCATTCTTCTTGTTCTTTTCTTCTTTTTATTTATAGTTCGTATAATATTTAATGAATTTGTTCGCTTTACATGCATGCTAATAATGTTATTATTGTATATATACTTGTATTGTAATATAGAGAAGATTTCATAAGTATGATTTACTTGTGTCCCATCCATTTTGCTGATATTTAGGAAATAAAATATGCTTAAACTAATTGATAATGACTCACGAAGAAGGACACGGACCTTTTCGTTTCTACTTTATAAGTTCTGTTATTTATAGACTATCAATTTATAACAGTCGTTTAAAAAGCTTGTTTTTTTAAACAGTTGAGAGCGAACATCCTTAACCTAAAAGTAGACTGTTTTTGACTTCTTCAGATATTCCTGATGTGTATTTATAGAAGTTTAACTATGTAGTTGTATATTTGTTGTTGTTAGTATTGGAATAACCTTCAGTTTGAAAGTTTTCATTAGAACGACTTCATGTTTTACCATTCCTTAATATTTTTTGTTGATCTCGGTGGTTTTTGCTCAAATTTGCACAAAGATCAGCAGCTACTTTCTTACACCTTCCACCATCACTTCCATTGAAACCATGATCACTCTTACTTCCAACTTCATAAGCTCGAAACACCTATTTAAAGTGAATCAGCAAACTTAACCTAATATAAAGCACCGTGGAATCGTTTGACAGCTAGATCGACGAAATCATATTGAAATGACGTCTACCTCGTCTGGTTTTTCTTGTGTAACTAATTATTTGATATTATAACCGATCTTCGTTTACACACCGAGTTTTTTATATGTATAAAAACTCTGAAACTTGTAATCTGTATTTTAGATCCGTTAAAAGTGCTACAACAAGATCAAGATACAATTTAGAGGAAATTCAAATATTACGACCAAAGAACAACATGAACTTTAAAAACCTTTACCCATTAAAATAATGTGTGACTTGAACTATTCTTTGTGTTCACCTCTCAATCACCACAAGTATTATCCCTGAGGACAAAATTCGAATGCTTAACACCACATACGATCTATTCTAAAATCTTGATGGTAGTCAATCGCGTAGTAAAGTATCTTCTTAAACAAAAACTGAAACACAGTTTTAACATTACTTATCTTACTGTTTGAAATAAAGAATAAAGAGTAGTGTTTAGGAGGAAACGTTTGGATCAAAATGGGACGAAACTGCATAATAAATATAATTTTTATAATATAAAATTCACTTCACCATCAGAATTGTTATAGCGTATAGCAAGAAGCCTTGCAATTAGATCAACTGCTGTTGATAAGGATAATAAGTTTGAGGCCTTGTATTATTCAGTTTGTTCTTATTTGTTCAATCATTCAGTCTGGTACATGTATATTATAAACATTCCTACATGAAAAATATATATATATGTGTGTGTGTGTGTGTGTTTACGTGAATAAAACATTGATAAAACTTCACTTTTTTATCCTGGACTTCTTCATTTTTCCCCTCGTACTGTTATATGTATCTACATTCGGTTCCGTTCGGTATTTCAGAAGGGCAATTAAATATATATATATAGATTCTTACATTGATACAAGTGGATTATCAAATTTATCCAATTGAGATAGTTTAAAAATTCGAGAATTCACTATTGAGATTGTATACATCCGATAATCCACAAGTAACATTGTAAGAATCTGTTGCTCTAATAATTATCAAATACATTTTCATTTTTGATAAACGAAACTCCCCTCCGAGCTCCTTCCACATTCAAAATTTCTACTTCATACAAATGTAAAGATGTCAATTTCTCAAACACCTGTTATCACATTTCGATTCGTCAAGAGAGCTGATAAAGGTTGTGACCTTTTAACTTAGCCAATCATCTACTGAGATCATCGACAACCACACGTTGATTAATTTTGGTTAAAATTTTAAACAATGGGTCCAGAAACGGTTAAATTGCCAAAGAAGTAAAGAAAAACATTTATAATTAAAGTACAGTTCTTTACCGAGTGTAACCATCAACTCTGATTCATGCATGTAACAACGCAGAAACAAGTATGATAAAAGTGCGCAGTTGCGATAGGAATTTCTGCAACCTTTTGATAAACCTTATTTCCGAAACGTATATAGGTATTGTCAAGAAGAACTTTTACAGCTTTAAACCTCTCGTCATTGTTCCTATATGTATACATAGAATATTTACCTTATTCATACAGAGGAAGAGTTAGGGCAAACACATTTGCAAATCATTTTTAAAGGACCATAAAATTAAACAAATGTTTAATAAGATTGTGCTGATTAATATATTTACAAAGTTAAGCATCACTATTGTTAACATAATTTAAAAAGAATTATATACAACTCCGTTCTTGTTAGAAGTTCAAACATGTGGTTAAAAATGGCCTAGGAACTCTTTCATAAATACATTGCAAAGCTTATTTTTATGAGATAAACAATTGCAGTTCTCTATAAATGTGCGGAATACTTCGCCATACAGAAAATGGGTCAGGATAGGATAACATTTCGACCTATAGCTTTTATTATATTAGCACGTCAAATCCTGCTAAAAGTACTCAACCGATTCATTTTTGAAAACATTAATACATATTCGAGCTGCATATGATTATTAGATTATTAAATCAATTTTGAATATTCAACAATTAATCCACCAATCCAGAGGTTTTCGCATGGCTATCGACTATGATTTACAGTACGCTTTTAAATATGTTTGTATCTCTCTATGTTTTACCTTACCTTTTTATTTTTAGTTTTTCTGTCTTTTTCCAAGACAACATGGACAATGCATTACAATATTACATAGCAGTCGTATCGTGTTCAAAATAGCAAACATAATTACACTTGTAGTAAAAACAAATTAATTTCTTATTTCTAATTTATTCAATGTGTGATTTGATTATTTTTTTACATATATTTCATATGGAAAACCAAGAGACATTGTTTTGATACACAAGCATTTAAAGCGAGATTCATCATGTTTATTTGAAATGTTTGCGAAAAAAACAAATGTAAACCTGTGTGGAACGCAACTAAAAAATAACAAAAAATTCAGACTAGCTTTTCAGAGTAGTGTCTGTCAGATATAAGTGTATATGCAGGAAACTAGGGTTTGCAAATAAAATATTTAAATGCATAGCCTAGTTTTCTGGTTTTCAAATCTTAAAACTTCATTAAGAAGATGCAAGGTAAAATAAATAAAAACAATGTTTTTTTAGGTATATTAATTTATATAACTACAACAAAATTGCAAATGTCTTTAATTTGTTTAAGTTGTACATAGTGTTGTTGAGAATCTCCAAATTCTGTTCGTTCGGTCATCATACCCATTAAGACAGTTGACATCAATATGCTATCCAAGTATGACGACTTGTAGAACACAAATAACAACAACGATAGCTGAAGCAAAATATAAACATACAATTATATCACATGTATGTTTCATTATAATACGTTATTTTGATTGGTTAACAGCAATCTTGCGTCATTCTGAAACTAACATTCATTTCAAAATGAAATGTTATAATCATGATGACACGAGCTTTCACAATAAAGTGCCCAGGTAAATAAAAGAAAAACTTGATAGAAATCGTGTTTTCATGATCCTAGCAAAAACATGTAATTATAAGTATTTAATGCTTCATTTAGTAATTTTATAGGGTTGTAAAAGCGTTGACCGTGCGCACATTTTTAGAATGAAGCGCTTCCACTATAAATTTACAAAACGAAGCATTCAATTCTTAAATAAATATCACATAAAGAAAGTTATTGCAATATATTTTCATACATAAATTCCTAGACCTAGTGAAAACATAATGGTTAAATAGACAGTATGCTAAAAGTACCGTATGTTCATTTCAATGTGTCTATTTTGTATGTGACATATATGTATATAACTTTTCGTATCACATGGAAGAATTGCATGTATGCTAATGCTTACCATATAAACTATTTATACTGTTATAAAGATTACACATATTTTATTGTTTAAAATGGCAAATACGGTTTTATGAATTCAGACCAAGTACGTGTATGCCATTCCATACTATATACACAACCTACAGTGGTATCCAATGGAAATAATTTGACCAGTGCTAGATATGATAATTTCCATTAATGAATTTTTTAACTGATAAATCGAATAGTATCGTGTTTTAGTGTGTTGTAACTGTGAGTTTATTGTAGTGAGCATAACCTTTTCACTATTCTCAGTTGTCTACGACGAAACACGTGTTCTCGTCCAATCATTAAATGATAATTAAAAAAATGACTTCCTGTGTCGAGTGAAAAGGTTTAGAAATTGTTTAAATCTTCATGCTTCACATGTGCCTGTATCGGACATATAATACTTTTGTGACGGATTAGAGATTATAGTCCAAGGAATTGTTTACATCTTCATGATTTACATGAACCTGTATTGGACGTATAAAACCTTTGTGACAGGTAAGAGATTATAGACCCAGGTATTGTTTACATCTTCATGCTTTAAATGTACCTATATCATATATCGGACGTATAAAACCTTTGTGACGGATTAGAGATTATAGTCAAAGGAATTGTTTACATCTTCATATATACTTTACTTGTACCTGTATCGGACGGTATAAAACCTTTGTGACGGATTAGAAAAAGATCAACGAAAAAAGAATTGGACAAGTTCAAATGCACTGAGCATTTGTTTGATAGGACCGAAGTGGTCTAAGTAGTAGAACTACTATATCAGAGGCTAGTCAACACTGTGGCAACAGATGCGCTCGACTGCAATCTTAACTGACGTGGATTGTTAGTTTAGGTCTGTGGTTCTCTCTGGCTTCCTCCACCAATAAAAACTGATCGCTACGAAATAGCAAAGAAGTGCTGATAGTGGAGTTAAACTCCAAGCAATCAATTAATCAATCAATCAATCAATCAATCAATCAATCAATCAATCAATCAATTAATCTATGATTGGACCAATACCTAATATATTTTTGTATTTTGAATATCCGTTTATGTAGATCTCTTTTCCACACATAGCTCTCACGTGTTTAGGAACTTACATCGATGGCTTTCAGTGGTTTTTGGTATAAGCGTTCCTGATGAAAGTAAACTCAGAAAAACGTACGGATTTTTTTTTTCATTTCTTTTTGATAATGTTTTCTTAGGTATATGACCAAAAACTATGAAATATCAATGGAACGTTTTTGTCGACCATTTTCATGAATATATTATAAGCTGCTTAATAACCCCGATGATATATAATAGGTTTCACATGAATGCTTAAATATCGATCATTAAATTGCTTATGATTCCAAAAATTATTTCCCTTATTAGTCAAGGTCTATCTCCCTAAGGAAAGGCATGCCTAATGTGCCTTGGTCGGAAATCTGTAATTTTTAAAATTTTATTTTTATGAATAAGCTGACATATTGTTACTCGCCTCAGGAAAATGTAACTACAGATTTTTATCTCTGTAAACACTGCACACAGCAAGTTCTGAACTCTTTTTTCATAAAAGTGTATCGACCTAACCCTTACATTTTATTTTTCAAAACTGAAATAATACTTAATCCTTACCTCTCATTTTCAAAGACGAACTAAAAGAACTATATGCCAAATCTGTGTCCAATGTTTGATCTGTAGACTGATAAGTCGAAGTAGGTACAGTCACATTGGGTGTATTCTGCAAAATCGAAGGTGAACTTTTCGAAGTACTCTTGATTTCTACAGACCAGATGTAAGGACATTGGCAATTAGGCTGAGACGTGTACCCAATAGATACAAATGCCCCATCTGTATCTAAAAAATGCATTTAGACTAATTATTAAAATTTGATTTCATACCATTTGAATATTTTCAATTTTAAAGTACTTTTTGTCGATTTATACATTGATGTGTTGCGAAGGCCTATATTTTGTTTTATTCACACTTGTATAACAGAACTACTGTTATGTTGTATTTTGCTCACTCGCCAAAATACCTTATATTGTGACTCGCAGCTGATAGTTTACAATATCAATATACAGACAACCTGATAATCAGTACTTGCCGTTACCACAATCCCGTCCTCTATAACATGTATGTGACCTACCGAATTTGACTTATCACCAGGTTTGTACTTACATAAGCAACAGACATGTGTCACATGTAGGGCATGATCTGTTTATCCTTCTAGAGTACCTGAGAACTCCCCAGTTTTTAGTGAGATTCATTTTGCTTAATTCTTAGTTTTTTATGTTGTGTTTTGCAAACTGTTGTGTGTCTTCTGATCGTTTTCCATTTTTTTGACATGACTTTGTTAGTTTGTCATCGACTTATAAACTTGATTATCCCTTTAGTACCTTCGCTTCTCTTTAAAAGTTAATACTGTAAACCAACTAATTTTGCGGACGATTTATTTTCGCAACTATTACGAGCATGTAAATCGTCGCGAACATGCATAACTTTGATATTTTCTTAATTAACTGCATGAATTAATTAAAAAAAAAAAAACCCGCCAAATTAAATGGCCGGCTAGAAAGGGCTAAACGCGAAAATAAGCTAGTTTGCTTTCTTTAATAACTTAAAATGAGACTTGTCAAGAAAATGTAAATTTAGATGTGGTATAATTGCCAACAAGAGAACTATCCAACATGACGTGGATATAAGTAAATAAAGGTCAGAATAGGCACCGTACGGCATTAAACAATGTGCAAAACACACACCGTTTGTCAAGCCAAGCCTATTCTTATATTCCACATATATTTTTTTCTAAAATGTATTACTTCTATTGCCACTTCTAATAATTTGCTACTATCTTTGATAATAATTACTATAATTACTTTACGCACAAAACTGGTCTGTTATTATTTTGGTTTATTGTTTTAGCATAAATGATGCATGATGCCGTTGATTTTTCTCTTGTGAATTGTTTTATATTTTTGTCATCCCAGAGCCTTTTACATCATACTCCACGGTATGGATTTTGCTTATTGTTGAAACTCACCTTATAACTGCTGCAGAAAAATAGAAATAACCAATTAATACAATACATTTTTATCTGTGTCATCTATTACATATAGCCGATGTGAGAAGGCCGTCCAGGTCATTTGGTCTATAGGGAGTAGTTTTCATTGGCAGTCATTTTTTTTTTATAAAACCAATCCCGAAACAAACACTTCGAACTGGAATTTGCATTTATCTAGTGCTGTTTTTTTCATCATACGTCCAATCGTAGTTTCCGTATTAATCATGATTTTGAATTTAGATGTAACGTTCCGTAAAAAAAGGCTGACGAGATAGAAGACAGATGTTTAATTGTAAAAGAAAATGACATTGTACGTGGTTACTTTAGAAGTTGGATGTAACCTTACTTGTTCTGAGATGAATGTCAATAGACTTGTGGAGAGTAGTCTCGTTGGCAATCATACCACATCTTCTAATTATTAATCTTACTGAAGTCTAGTACATATTTTAGTTCGTTTAAATTCTCATAAAAATACTGTCTCTAAAATTAACCCCCCTTTTTGTTCTTAAAAAACATCAATCATAGAGATTTTTTATAACGAGTTACAGCCATCAGCTTTTCCGACCTACCGATGCTGTTTTCCTGTTGTCAGTGTTAAAAAAAGAGAACAATGTACGTACTTGATTTATAAAAAAAACTACCTATCTCATGTCGTTTTCCCCACGAAAGATTTGTAATAACAAAAAGACAGAATGAAAATGACGAGACTTAATTGGTTCAGATAATTGAATAACTCCACAGTTCAATTTTTCTTCCAACATATCCAGAAGTATCATAGGAGTAATGTCTTCGTAGTTTTGGCACAGACCACATTTTTTGATAAGTCATTTCTCGCTAACGAGTTTGCCAATTTTCATTTCCCAGAGAAAGGGAGGTATGTCGCGTAGTTGAAGACGCACATTTTTATACTTAATTCCGCTAGAGGCGTGCATTTACGTATACTTAACCTTGAGATAGAAAAATGCCGAATTCTCAATTATTTAAATGTGTCATCGGAACATGCACGTCGGGAAACTACATCATCACTTAAGAAGATCCTCCATTTTGGAAAAATGACCGTTTTGAGGCGAGTCAATAAGGTTTTATGGGAAATAACTATTAATGCAATAATAAAAGTTCACTGTTCCGTTATTTCGATAGCTTTGATTTTGATGGCGTCATTTAAACGGAATCAAATCAGAAAACAGACAAGCTTAAAGTAAAAGTATCCATTGAATGAGTTATAAAAGAAACATTTTGTCGTTTTCAAAAGAAAATGTGGGTTTTTGAAAACTTATTTTCCTTTAATACCTAATGGTAAAACAATATCAGGAATAATTGTATAGTTTTCTCATAAATATGCGCATTTACATTTCCGTTTTATATATGTATTTCAAAATGTGAAATTAAAGTATTCAAACTTATAAAAAAAAAAAAAAAAAAAGACAACACAAGAACCACTTAAAATAGCTGAATAAAGGTACAAAGTTTAAGTTTTTATCATGTAATACTAATATTCGACCAATATTTGAAATGGTACAACGTACTGCTGACATGCAATTGAATTCCTCCCGAGTGTATGTTTCACATAAATTTGGAATAAAAACCAGATTGAACTTGGATGTTTTAATGCCGACAATACTAGTTTCCGGAAATTTTACGGCTGCAAGGAGATTTCATCTAAATTATAGAAATTCTCAATTTCAGGCTTCATAGTTCTCGAGAACAAGTACGATAATCTATGTTTTATTTTACGTTTAATTAAATATCTCATCTCGATCTACAACATATTTCAAAATCCGTGACCCCAACATTTTTTTTTATATTTTTGACAACAGCATGATATAAACTAATATAAATTACACTTGGGAAGGTATTGTTGTAAATGAGACCCCAAACTCTACAATACATTGTAAGTGGTTGATTTTGAGTGACATAATGTTCAAATTCAGAGTAGGAAGGAAACCTTCCAATTTCATGACCGGAATTGTAATGTTTTTGGGTCATTTGACTTACTTTCAACTTTTCTTGCTTCACAATAGCAAATTGAGACATTAATGTTCAAGTGACATAATGTTCAAATTCTTAGTAGGAAGGAAACCTTCCAATTTCATGACCGGAATTGTAATTTTTTTGGGTCATTTGACTTACTTTCAACTTTTCTTGCTTCACAATAGCAAATTGAGACATTAATGTTCAAGTGACATAATGTTCAAATTCAGAGTAGGAAGGAAACCTTTTAATTTCATGACCGGAATTGTAATGTTTTTGGGTCATTTGACTTACTTTCAACTTTTCTTGCTTCACAATAGCAAATTGAGACATTAATGTTCAAATGACATAATGTTCAAATTCAGAGTAGGAAGGAAACCTTCCAGTTTCATGACTGGAATTGTGATGTTTTTGGGTCATTTGACTTACTTTCAACTTTTCTTGCTTCACAATAGCAAATTGAGACATTAATGTTCAAATGACATAATGTTCAAATTCAGAGTAGGAAGGAAACCTTCCAGTTTCATGACTGGAATTGTGATGTTTTTGGGTCATTTGACTTACTTTCAACTTTTCTTGCTTCACAATAGCAAATTGAGACATTAATGTTCAAGTGACATAATGTTCAATGTAGAGTAGGAAGGAAACCTTCCAATTTCATGACTGGAATTGTGATGTTTTTGGGTCATTTGACTTACTTTCAACTTTTCGTGCTTCACAATAGCAAATTGAGACATTAATGTTCAAGTGACATAATGTTCAAATTCAGAGTAGGAAGGAAACCTTCCAATTTCATGACTGGAATTGTGATGTTTTTGGGTTATTTGACTGACCTTAAACTTTTCTTGCTTCACAATAGCAAATTGAGACATTAATGTTCAAGTGACATAATGTTCAAATTCAGAGTAGGAAGGAAATCTTCCAATTTCATGACCGGAATTGTGATGTTTTTGGGCCATTTGACTTACTTTCAACTTTTTTGCTTCACAATAGCAAATTGAGACATAAATACCCCAATAAAGGATGTTTGCCCTCCTGTTTCAAAGTAACAAGCTTTTTAAAAAAAGACTGTAACAAATTGATAATATATAAATAAAGCCTTTTTTAAAAGCAGATAAAAACAAAAGTGTTTGTCTTTGTTTTTGAGGTAAAATTAATTGACAATTTGGCGGGAAATGATTCTCTCTAGATTTTTCATACATTTAACATTGGCACATTTTTTCTTTCAAAACATGTTAATAACAAGAGTTTTATAAGATTTTGATAAAAGACTTTTTAAACCATATGTTATATTGAACAGCGATATACTACAGTTGCCTTATAAAATGTTGATTAGAAAAGTAGCACTTAGCGGGCAAAATTTTTATTCTGAATATCTGACAAAAAGTCAAAACCAAGTGTAGCGAACGTTCCTTAAATCAAACTCTACATTTTGTTGCTAGATTCATAAGTGACTTTAACTGGTCACCGTGCCTATAGAACATCATACAATACTGTAAACCAATTAATTTTTGTGACTTTTGCGAGTAGAAAAATATCGCGAATATAAATTATCACTAATATCTATTACTCGGATCTTTCCTTATTTAGATACATCAATTAAATGTGAAAAACTGCGCAAAGTGGGCTAAAAAGTGTGAAACGCAAAATAAGGTATCCGCGAAAATAAGTTGGTTTACAGTAATCGCCAGACTATTAACCCGTTTTTCGTTGCTAATTAGACAGTTTAAGTTCGAGTGCTAGGTTTAAATCTAACTTTTGTTAACCTTTCAACGAAACCACAATAATTCCAACATCAGTTCCTGTTGGACAATTTTCATGGACAATTGTGAATTCCTGACGATCACTGCAAGACTTGTGGTTATTAATTATAAATTAATGATACTTTTGGAGTTATCATTTATTACTGTTATATTTCTATTGTTGAAGGATTTGTTTAGAATTTCTTTTTCTCTGTTATATACACAGCCTTCTAATATATCTCAATTTTTATTTTTCTTCCACCTACTGGTAGACATAATACGACGTACAATAGTATTTATTTGTAGGTATCTTTGATGAGTTGTTTTAATGAAATATATTTAAGAAATGAATGCTTCTTTTTGTTATTTTATTGGGGTGTAAAAGTGTTGACCGAAGCACAATTTGTATGATCAACACTTTTACACCCCAATAAAATTTCAAAAAGACGCATTCATTTCCTAGAATTACACTTTTATGCTAATAAGACCATGCAAAAAAAGTGTTATCAAGTTTTTCTTTTATTTTCCTGTAGAAGCACGTGTCATCACAAATGTAACATTTCATTTTGATATAAAGATTAATTTTTGAATGACGCGCGTTTGTTTTTAGCCTAGCCAATCAAACTAACGGATTCTCGTGAATCATACATGTAATGTAATTATTATACTTTGATACTGTTGACAACTGATCAATTATGTTTTAGCATAGTTACAATACCTGGACACAGCTTCACACCCATCTGGACATCCATGCGTACCATGGTAGATCGACAAGAAAAGATAGTTACATATGTTTGTAGGTAGTGTTGAATCGTATTCCATAATGTTAACTCTAAACAATCACATTGAATACAGCCCTCGCAATGTCTGTTTGTAGAAAAGAAAAGTAATATTCGCAAAGTAACAAATGACTCAGAGTTATTTAGTTGTAGTAAAATTAAGGTTTCAACTCTCCGAAACAAAATTAGTATTATAATCATTTCAGATGAACCATAGCATTTTTATGAGCTGTAAATTTGCTTTGTCTATTCAAGTGTTAATATCGTCACGATATACAAATTTTGCGCTTACAAATCGGGACGTTAAGCTATCACAAATGAATCAATTATCCATTGCGAATAGAGATTATGCGTTTAGATTTGATATAATATATCCTTTATACTCTCTTACACGGTTTTAAGTTTTCTGTTGATTGTTTTTCAGACTGTATTTGGCTGACGAAGGTTGTGTCTCAAGCTTTCCCTAAGAAAGTTTTTTTCAATGCTTTTTTGTTTGCTAAACTGTTCGTTTCGAATTAAATTGATGAACGTTACTCCACAAACATTTAATGTTTGTACTGAATTCTGTATCAAAATTTATCGATATTAAACTTTAACTCGGAACGGAAAAGTTGATAGATGATTTGGCTTTTCTTTGTATACTTCCTTTTCGATTTTGTATGCTGAAAAAGTTTCATGTATCTTCCTTTTTGAGAAACCATAGGTCTCGATTGTAATTCGTTCAGTATGTTCCAGGCATATGTGTCTAATACACCTAAATTGGTCGCTTTATTTCTATCAACCATTTTCACTCCCGTCATACGAGTAAATAAAATGGTGTATTTATTGTTTTTTAAATGTTTATTGGCAACTATTAGATGTATTTTCAAGACGGGAACAAATTAAAAAAACACAACACATAAGTAAGTTCTGCAAAAAAGGTGGACCAGAATGAACAGCGAGAAAATCGAACAGACATTGAAAAGGGCATGTTTGATTTATGCCACGATCAAAACGATTGATGCCGCATATGGAACATAATCTGTTTACCCTTTATCATGTTTATATATCATTATGCATAAAAAACAGTATACATTAAAAGTATCTCTTATTGTAGTATTGTTTGTAGCATGTAGTTATAAGTTGTTGAGTAATTTGCATAGTCTTGTGAACTGTAAATTTACCGATTGTGTCCTAGAGAGAGAGAGAGAGAGAGAGAGAGAGAGAGAGAGAGAGAGAGAGAGAGAGAGAGAGAGAGAGAGAGAGAGAGTATCTTCACTCACAGTTTAATCGATGGATTCAAGAGTTTTTCCATTAGATTCGTTGGTATACTGTTAATTGGATTATGTGACAAGTCACTGAAATATAAAAAAATATGTGTTCAGGCTTAAATAGCTTAAATATTGCGTAAAGCAAAGTTTTGTGAAAGGTCGTGTGACATAATCAGTCAAACAGACTTTATTAGCTCAACTCGTTAAGGAACGATCGTTGTCATTGGTCAATTCAAACCTGCGCCCTCAAATAAATTCTAAACCCACGCCCAAGCATACCGGGCATACTATAAACGTTCGAAAGTTGAATGTGCTGATTGGGTACAGGATTGTGTACTTGATTATTGCATGGCAAATCTAGCTTATATCCATGTGCATGTAAGATTTATATTATAATTTTGTGCAATAGTTCGAATAAGGTCCTCCGTCTTAAATTTTTAAATTTTATTTGGAAGGCTCTTGATTTTTTTTTCACGGCGAAATATTGGATCCAATTTTTTTCTCGCAAATACTCTTCTGGGTTACTTTCGTACTACTGTTTTATCTATTAAGTGAAACATTATGTGTTTGCATTAAGAAAAAATTATGAAATATGACTGAAATGACTCAGTGATGTTGGATAAAGGTAAATGAGACCGCAATTAACGTCAATAATAGCTAAAATACATAAAACAGATGATGCATTGCACGATTTTACAGTATATAGATTTGTGAAATAAATTGTTTGCACTTCATACTATATCGTTAACCTCCTCCTCTACCCTTAAACTAGGCCCAATTATACTAAACATTTTGTAAATATGAAGCTACATATAGAAATTATTAAGGAAAAAGGAATTTATAAATTTACATCATGGCTTAATTCATTAACTTTAAAAATCAGGGAAGCTTGGGGTTTAAGGAATTCGACTTGGGATAGTGTGATTTATTTCTGATTCAGTTTACTTGATTTTGAAAAAAAAATCCGAGAAAGATAAGTTAATACAAACATATTTTTATTCTATATAAATCCTATGAAGGTACATGTAACCATGCTTTTTTTTTATAGAAAAACGGACATGTAGTGAAAGGAAATGTACTTTACGTAACGCCGGCGATAAAGGTGACAGTGAATTTATTATTATTTGTTTTGCCTGTTCTCAGTTGGAAAAGGATGTTCGCTTCTGTTGTTTTGACTTTTTGTCAGATATTCGGAATCCTCTAGTTTTCTCCGTGTGGGGCCACTCAAATGTTTACCCGCTTACCCCTACTTTTCTTCATAATTTTATTGCATAAAGTTCATGCAGATGCCATTTTTGAAAATCTTATAAAATCCTTGTTATTTTTTCCATAGTTTTTGAAAGAAAAAAGGTGATAATGTTTTTTTCTGCTTTCTAAGTTCCGTTATTTATATACTATCAATTTATGACAATTTATTTATATCCTATCAATTTCTGACAATTTATTTATATCCTATCAATTTATGACAATCTATTTATATCCTATCAATTTCTGACAATCTATTTATATCCTATCAATTTATGACAATCTATTTATATCCTATCAATTTATGACAATCTATTTATATACTATCAATTTCTGACAATCTTTTAAAAATCGTGTTATTCATCTTTGTAAATATTTACATAGATCAAGTATTATGTCAATTAACTCGCTGATTGGTGATGAAAAAATAACCAGTTGAAAAAAGTGTGTTTATTCATGACATGTATTAATAAAAACGTTAGTCCCTCCTTCACATTGTACATTTAAACATATTGTCATCCTTAATTTCTTTTACGTCTCGTTTAATAGTTTATTATACAGGTTTAATTTTATACATCATTTTAAATTAGCACACTACATTTGTTTACCTTCAATTTTATTGAAATGTTATGTTTTTCTGTAAACTTGTACTTAGTTTTTTAGAGAATAAAATATCTATCTGTCTGTACCGCAAGTACCATGAGTACCCTACATCTGAATCCGGTAATGACTTATTTTTAAAAACTTCGTCTTGATTTCATTGTGACTTGTGCTTTTAACCACGGCATTTCAAGGAAATTTTATTTTACAAGGTGATTATTACTTAGGGACATCAGCGGTTTCCTCACGTTTGAAAGAAAATGGGGTAATTTCTTAAATATTTCAATTTTATTCATAATCAATTATGGATCTATTAAAATCACGCTCACAAATATTTTGCAAATCTCTATTCTTCCAATAGGTTCATCCTAACATGAAATTAAAAGACAAAATTGCATCCAACTAAAATCAAAACGATATATTCAAATTGTTCCTAATAAACAACGACATTTCTCATAAGTATTTATTTCTATTTTCCACACATGCAGAAAAAAAATCCCTGTCAGTGTTACATTTTAACCCTTTTTACACATATATTCAATTCAGTTATTTCCGTAGTAACCATGCAATCATTAAATTTATATTGTCCGTCAATTGTGTTCATTCACTTGCACAATACGATTATTGATGTTTTGTTTGTATCTTTTGGTGAATGAATAGGACATTACAATGTGTTTCGTTTGTGATACGTAATAATGTTATTCCTGAATGACCATACGCCAAATTTGTATAGATTGAAAACAAAAGAGAAATGTGCAACCCATCATGAATTATTTTTATAATGAGATCCTTATTATGTTACTACGACATTTTAAATTTTACTGACATGTCAAGACAAACCTAGGATATGATTGTATCCCGTCAGTGTGAAAGGAAATTAATAGTGGTACATGTGTATATATATTTATCCGTATAATAGTGGTACATGTATGTATCCTTATATTTTTCATGATTTTTTTTTACATTAAGAACATTGCTATCGAAAAAATTGGCACATTTCGACCCCTCTTTGAAATCAGGTGACAACACAGCATTACACAACAATTCATTCAATTCATTTTACTTTCGTAGCTACATAGTACCATCACAATACGATTGTTGTTGTATTTGTATCTTTCGGCAAATGAAATGGGACGTTACAAGTTGTTTGTTTGTGATACGCCAGAATGTAATAAATGATTTACCAAACGCTAAACTTGGCTGCTTTTCAGTATACTTTTATCAAGTTTATAAAAATGTTATTGATGAATCAGGTGTTCCAAAAAAAGGTGAGTAGTCCGTGCCTAACAAATGGCTTCTTTATGCCTACGTGAATATCATTAAATTATGTTCCAATCGAAAAAAAAAAATAGACCAATTAGGAGTTTGGTTTCCTATTATCCTGGTTCTTTCTTTAATTATGTTACCTGGTTTCCCAAGGTTTATTAGATTTACATGATATTCATTTACTGCGGTAAATCATGTTACATTTCATTTTTACTGTAAATGAAAAATAGTCAGTGTTATCCAAAGAAACTTATCATAAAGTAAACTTACATTTCCTCAAGAATCGTATTTGTGTCGAAAAAACCCTCTGGAATAAACGTGATCCGGTTGTTATCCAGGAATCTAGAAATATCAACAGTGATATATGAATATTCAACTTAGTTCCGCGCTTCAGAGAATGACAAAATCAACATTTTATTCAGTCTAATCATTCAATTATTTCTATGTGAGTTTGCGTTAAGAAAATTTAGAATACGGGAACTGGAAACATTGTTATTACATTACCAAATAAATGGTATAAGAATTCTTTGTAGTCCCTCCTGCAACTCGGTAATTATGATGAACATTTTCAACAAAAACCTCGGTGAAGACGCAACGATACATGGTCATCGTCATTATACATACCCTTTTCATTATAATGTTTCAATATTAATCAAAACTGAAGAACTAGATCCTTGTGAAAAAAAACCCTGGTTCATACAAAATTTCACTGAGACGGGCATCATCAAGATGTTGAATTATTTTATTGACAACGTTTTTGTTAAATTTGTAG